CTGGGCTTGTCTCAGCTACCGGGTCTCCAGATATATAATGTAATATTTTTTAAATCATGCTTTAAAAATGAAATAACATTGAGAAATGATATTTAAGTGTTTTTATATAAACATCTTTATACTTGCTTATTAAAAGAAATATATGCTCTTCCTTTCAGATAACATTCATGACATTGTTGTCACTTGGAGCACAAAAAATGATACAAAAGAGTCAATAGTGGAATATGGTATAGGTGGCTTTATTCTGCGAGCTGAAGGAAATTCTACTCTCTTCGTCGATGGTGGTGAAAAGAAACGAAAACAATATATCCACAGAGTGTGGCTAAAAAATTTAACTCCCAATAGCAAATATAGTAAGACAAGCGTTTTATTGTTTGCTACTAATTATTCTCAATTGTTATTGCACTAATAATGAACGTTTGACTATTTATTGTTAGTATATCATTGTGGTAGTCGTTATGGATGGTCAAATGTATTTTATATGAGAACCGCACCTGAGGATTCTGTAGATTGGTCGCCACAAATAGTTATCTTTGGTGATATGGGTAATGAAAATGCACAAAGTTTGTCACGATTGCAAGAAGAAACAGAGCGTGGTTTATATGACACTGCTATTCATGTTGGTGATTTTGCTTATGACATGAATACAGAAGATGCACGTGTAGGAGATGAATTTATGCGGCAAATTGAATCCGTTGCCGCTTATATACCATACATGACTGTACCTGGCAATCATGAAGAAAAATATAATTTTAGCAATTATAGGTAGGAAAGATCACAAAAGTAACACGGGACGAACGTAACAGATAAACTGAATATCGTACGTACTTTATCGGGCCTAAGATGAAATGCTTTAATAAGTATAAAAACAATCTCAATCGCCATGCATTTGTTTATGTGTGTTTTTACATCTGTTTTACGTTTGTTTCTAATCTTCCCTATTTAAAGTTGTATTCTAAAATTCATTGCGTTGAAAATTTAGTTTATATTACGTATGTCATAAATTTTCAGCACTAGCAGTGAATTGTAAAATAGCCCAAGTACTTGCTCGATCATTTGCAATTTGCTATTGATATTTCATATATCGATGAAATGATTTAATCTCATTTTTTTAATAATATTCCAGAGCTCGATTTACTATGCCAGGTGATTCAGAAGGCTTGTGGTATAGCTTTAATATAGGTCCTGTACATTTTATAGCTATAGAAACTGAAGCTTATTATTTTATGAATTATGGTATAAAACAAATGATTAAACAATATGAATGGTTAGATAAAGACTTACGAGAAGCTAATAAACCTGAAGCAAGGTACGTTGTCAATTAGATCATAACACATAATATAATGATGATTGACACAGAATTATAATTACAGAGCTCAACGTCCATGGATAGTAACATTTGGACATAGACCAATGTATTGCAGTAATAAAAATGCAGACGATTGTACTAACCATCAAAGTTTAGTTAGAGTTGGATTGCCATTTTTAAATTGGTTTGGATTGGAAGATCTGTTTTTCAAAAATAAAGTAGATTTAGAAATCTGGGCGCATGAACATAGTTACGAAAGGCTGTGGCCTATGTATAACTTTCGAGTAAATGTTGTTTATTAAGTTTATTTTAGGAAAAATATTTGCTTGCTAATAAGTTGAAAATTATTCTCATAGGTGTACAATGGTAGTTACGAAGAACCATATACAAATTACAAAGCGCCTGTACATATAGTTACTGGATCAGCTGGTTGTAAAGAAGGTCGAGAGAAATTTATTTCAAATCCACCGGCATGGTCCGCATTTCGTAGTTCAGATTATGGATATACAAGAATGAAGGCATTCAACAAAACTCATTTATATCTAGAACAGGTATGACATAAATATCATAACAAATTCTGCAAACATGTTTTTGTCAAATTATAAACTATTTCTACTTAATAATAGGTATCCGATGATAAGGATGGTGCTGTTTTAGACAGAGTTTGGCTCGTGAAAGAGAAACCTTTACCACAGTATGTAGAAGCTTTTCCTATAAATTAATATAACAATAATTTTAATTAACGCCATACTACAAACCAAAATAGTGACGTTAAAAAGAGACATTTATCGAATGATACTTTTATAGTAAATAAAAAATTTCTTTTACTTCGACTGTGTATTATACGTATAATTGTAATTCGAATTTAGTACACATTTTAGCAGTCATACTATGGTCGAAATGTATACATAAACAATAAAATACGTGATATTTACGTATGAGCGAGTAAAAAATTAGTAAATGCAAAAACGTATAATATAATCCTTTAATTGTTAAAATATAAATATATGCATATATATAATTATTATAAGTATATATAATAGTTTTAATAATATATACACACATATACATACAAATATATATGTATATGTATATATGTATATATACATAGTATTAGTGTATAAGATTTCATATTTCCATCTAACTCTCATAATTAATCACTATTTAATGATACATAAAGATATAACGAATAGCCTTGACTGTTTCTTAGGAAAACATTTTTTCCAATTTAAAATTCATTATAATTAGACACGTGTGAGTATTTCGAAATTCCACATATCACGTATTATATGACTATATTTCGGATAGAACTCATTCGAGCTATTATTTTCCAAATTGTTCCAATTACTCTAATTGTGGCTATCATATATTCAAACCTATGATTTATTACTGTAAGCTTTTATGTTTATAAGTTTTACATCAATGAGCTCTTGAAACAGTGAGTTCATCTAAATGATATACTATTAAGTATTTAGCCTCAATAAGTAAAATAAAATAGTGACTGATGATTATTCTATATTTTCATATTTGCATTTCAAATATAATTATATTATTCGCACTAGACAGTAATCATTTACTAGGCACTTTGATCACAATTATGCACAAATGTTGATATATCATTAGAGTCTGGTTTCATTTTTATGATGATACGAATAATGAATAATTTATTTCATTGTAGATATATAATCATTATCTTCATCGAAAATTATTTTTACATTTAAAATATTTTGAGATTATCTAAAAGAATGTAGATTTGCAGGCAATAAAAAATATGATTTATGTATGCATGCATTTAAAAAACTATTACTTTCAAATATATAGTACACTGTTAAAAATGTTATGAAATTTAATATACTTTTAAGTTAGATAAATTAAATTTAATTTTATGACACTATATTAAATTTAATGTATCTGCAACTGAAAAATATATTTGTGTACATATACATAAAATTTAAGTTACTTATTAATTTTATTTTCATTGACAATATTAAATATTTTTAATGTATTTGCTTGAAATTTGCTTTCATTACATGAACAGAAGCAAATTTCTAGTGTTTTTTTTAATAATATTAATAAAATTTTTAATAATGTATATGAATATGCTAATGAATGTTAATTAATTTTGTGGTCCAAAAATTTTTCCAATATCTTCAAGTGAAAATAGAAAAGTTATGATACGATAGAATCTTCTATAAAGTTTTTATCTTTTAGATTTTAAGCTGTATTGGATAATTATAAAATTGAATGTCTATTGCTTAAAGCTTATGATTCAATAATAAAAAAATATCCAATTGCAACAATATAAAGAATTTGATTTCTAATGTTTTTTTATTCACATGCATGCATTTATTATTAAATTAACGTATTTTGATGGTTAGGAAATAACGTAGGTAGAAAATATTTAAGCCACGAGTTTCTTTCGAACAACTTCCTTTTCCAAACAATTCCAAAAATAGTCAAACATTTGTTTCGAATAAGTACTCCGAATTCTATACAACCCAGAATTTTCGAATACTCGCACATCTCCAATTATATCAGTCATAATAATGACAATTTTCATAACTCTAAAAAAGTGATCTCCAATTTATACAATAATTCAATTAAAGCTGATATACTACACATTTAACTTTCACAGTAGACAAACTATTTTCTTTTTCGTTAGCTCTTTACCAGTTGCAATTTTCTATTTTTTGGCATCTGCCGTAACAGTCATCTATTGAATTAAAAAAAAAGATCAGGAACTGCCCTTCCATAAATAAGATAATAAACGGTGATAATGAAGTTGGAAAGTGTCAAGTGCAACTTTTGTTAAATGAAAGATTATACTTACGATTATCGCACGTTCCTTGACGACAAGAAAATTATTCAATATTCACAATACATGTCTCAAGGAGTTTTAGTTAACTCGATTCAATTAAGAACGTAATTTAATCCCTGTCATATTCCTTCGAGTCTATATGCAAATATTATTCGTACTATCTCATTCTAATCTTATAGTATACATTTTTCCATATACAATTTTAATGAATAATTATGTGTATAGGTGTAATATGCGCGCACACACTTATACGCATAAATCTAATTATTTTGCCATTGGAGATATGTGACAATCTCTTAAGATGCATTAAAAAAAAGCATCATAAAGAAAGATAATAATTTGATTGATCTGCCTATTGGGAAAATTTCAAGCTTTGCAGACAATCGTCAGATACATATCGTAATTAAATTTTTTTGCTCGAAGTTTTTCATGCATTGAACGACATCTCATTACATTAATTAAGCAAGACACTTGACACTGTCAGTGATTAATAGAAACAATGGAAGAAGTTGCTGCTGAATGACTTTCCTGGTATGAAAATTGGGGAAAATGTTCTTGTTCTTCTGCTATAGAATTCAAACCCCCTCCACTACCCAAACAGCCCTGATCTGGGGGTGTAAGTTCAACACTTTCGCCGGTAAATTCACTATCAAAATATCGAGTGTCAATATCTGAAGTCACTTGCGGCTTAAAGGGTGGAGGAATCTTCTTCTGGACAAGATCTGTCCAATTGATACATGAGAAAAATGCATGATTCATGATGTCCTTTGCATCATTAGGTCCACCGCCTAATCTTTTACTTGGATCCTTTATTAATAAACCTATAAAAATAGCACAAATATACATTTTTTTTTTATTTAAACACATTTGTAATTATTGAAATTTGTAGTATTTACCACCAAGCATCTCTCTTGCTTCATTGCTAATCGTCCTAGGAAACCTTACTTCTTCCAATAAAATAAGCGTAAATAGCTTTTCATGATCTTTGTTATAAAAAGGTAATCGACCACACATCATTTCATACATGACTACACCTACACCCCACCAATCCACAGCTCGTCCATAATCGTTATCTTCAAGTACTTCTGGTGCCAAATACTCTGGTGTTCCGCAAAATGTCTTTGTTGTTCTTCCTATGGTTATATAATTAATCTCATCAAAATTCTTATTTAACACTTCACTAGTTTTAATTTAAAATTATATAATAGTATAATGGCTCAATAATTTTAAAAACAGATTAAAAGAAAAAGGGCTACGAGAATTTTACTTAGGGTCAGAAATTTTACCTATAAAATTGGAAGATAAGTAAAAAAATGTTTTAAAAATTAATTATGAAATTTAACAACATGCCGGCTAATAACAAACGTTTCGATCACGATCATTACCAATCAATGTTTACAAAGTACATCTAAACAGTAACAACACATAACATAAAAAGTTGATCAAAAATTGAAAATTTTGTTGTTAGTTGGCATATTATTAAATTTCATAATTAATTTATTAAAACATTTTTTTATTTCCAATTTTATAGATAAAATTTCTGGCTCGTAGTCCTTTTTCTTTTAACTAGTTTTAATTTTTTTTTTTTCAATGAATGATACAAACCATATGTAATATCCTCCTTGCATAAACCAAAGTCAGCAATTTTAATATGCCCATCTTTATCCAAAAGGAGATTTTCCAATTTGAGATCACGGTATATAATGCCTTGCGAGTGCAAGTAACCTAAGGCCGATATAATCTCTGCTCCATAAAATCGAGTACGATCTTCGCCAAATACCCGTGATCGACTCAAATGGAAAAATAATTCACCACCGTTAACATATTCCATAACAAAACACAACCTGTCCGCCGTTTGAAAACTGTATTTCAAAGACTGAAAATTTACGAATATGTTTACAATATCACAATTCGATACAGCTTTTATCCTACAAATTATAAAATTGCGAAAAATATCTAATAATAATGTATACTTTAAGCGGTATTTTACATACGATTAAAAAAGGATGATTAGTAGTACGTAATACTCTGTTTTCAGTAAGTGTATGTGCCACTTCATCTTTACGGATAATAACTTCCTTTCGTAAAATTTTAATAGCGTATAAATGTCCTGTCGCTTTTTCTCTACAAAGAATTACCTTTCCAAACGTTCCTTTCCCCAAAACTTTTAAAAATTCAAAATTTTCCAGCGTCTGAAGCAAACATGAAATTATGAATAAAATTAATCTTTGTATTTATTTTTGTATATTTAATACTTAATATTATATGTAAAAATAAATAATATTTATACATGCATCATATGCAATGGTATAACTTATAACTGAGTAATGCGTTTCTCAGAAAAAATGATTTAGTTAAATAATTAAATACAAAGTTTAAAAACTTACTACTTTCTTCTTGCCGGTACTTTTACTACTTGAAGTTCCTTGGACACTGAACTTTGCTGATAATTCATCGATACTACCACCGTCTATATCAGAAGATACAACACCTAAGGAACTACAAGAGTCAGACCTAGCACCTACTGACGATTCCATATCAACATCTTCCGAGGAAGAAGATTGTTGCATTTGTGGTTGTTCTTGTTGTTGATTTTCTTCATTTGCTAACCTATCTGCTACATATCTGCAAAAAAATATGAGGAAGAGAGTTAGATAAAACATTGAAAATGGAGCATCAAATAACTCAATATTTTAGAGCTTGCAAGATTGCTATTAAAATCAAACCTGATCGCTGCTACCCAGTCTTCCCTTTCTTGCTCTGTTTCCACATGAAACGTCCTTTCAATTACAGTTGTCCACTGGAGGCCTCTGATAACAAATGTATAGGGTTTAGGTCTGTCCACTGACATAATTTGGCACCCACGCACTGTAAAATTATTTAATGGCTGGGTAGATGTTTGCGTAGCCATCTGTGGATCAGGTTTCGCCTTGAATCCAACCAATGTACCATCATCTCTCAAGACAAAATATCTTGACCTCCAATTTTTAATGTGCTCTCCTACAAGAAATTATATGCATTTTAATTCTTTATACATAAATACTTAACTGAGAAAATTCAACTCCAAAAAATCTTTAAATGCTTGAACTTTCCTGTTTAAATTATTCCTCAAATCTTCTTATAAGGATATATTATAAAATTTTCAATTAATATATTTAATAAATAAAATAAAAATAAAAAAGAAAAGAAAATAGAAACAAAATGGAAAAAAAATTATATTAAACATGATTTTTTTATTAGAGGGTCCAATGTTAATTTAATTTTCCTCAAGACGCTTCATCGTTTTCATGTTTTGTAGCTCACTGGGCTACAAAATTGCATATTGCGATTGTTTTTTAAACAAAATATGAAAACAAAATAGACTTTTAACTTCTACGAAAGCAATATTCCGTCTTTGCTTGGACATAAAAATAAGATTTCATCATGAGTCTTCTATCGAAGTTCTACGTTCGAATGGACGGAACGGACAATTCGTAAATAATTTCGTAAGAAATAATTTGATATCTTCTCTTCTGCATTGCATTCGACGACAGGCAGCGGCACGTGTTTGTAACACCCAGCCCGCGCGTGACATACGCTCGTGCGTAACTACGTAGAGAGGAGCGCACGACAGTCGGAGTAATGAAAGCTCCGGACTTCGGTAAACATTAGGCAAAACATAAATATTATGGCAATACCGCGTTTTTGAAGCCATCCTTCTTTAACGATACGTTGACTGCCGCTACCGCTGCCGCTGACGCCGCTACCGCTGCCGCTGCCGCTGCCACCGCTGCCGCCGCCACCGCCAACGCCACCACCGCCGCCGCCGCCGCCGCTGCCACCGGACGCTGCGACGTTCATCGCTGCGTCCCCCATCACTCGCTCGTCGATACGAACTTGTCGATATTCCGGCGACGCTCCAAGTTCCGTCTTACGTCGGGAATCTCACAAAAATCGCGAACACGCAGTAGCGGGAGTGGTGCGCGTATGTAAACTGGAGTAATCATAGATACGCGTGCGGCAGGTAATGCATATGTACATACACACTGACCGTCGACGTGATCACGCTGAAACTGAGATACGTCAGAAGCGGCGCGACGATCGCCCCAAGTTTAAAGTCATGTTTTCATGAAGGAAGGAAGGACAAACTGCCAAATAAATAGGTCTGTTTTTTCCAACTGAATTGTATGGTTTAACTTTTTTTTCTTTACATGCTGAAGAAAAAAAAAGAAAAGAGAGGAATAGTTTAGTTGAAGAGAAGTATAGCTGAAAAGAAAGGCTCAATAGTTATTACATTTAATTTTAATAGTTATTTGATTCAACCAATCACATCAATTAGAACAATAGATTTGCTACTGTTTTATGGTTGTCTGCTGAGATAGGACCATTCTTCTAGATCTGAAAATATAATCCAATCAGCGCGAAGAAAATTTCCAATAGTTGCAATACGGTTTTAACGCACGTTTTGCCTATCTGCAAAAATTCTGTCGATGACAGTTAGACAGCAAAATAAGTAAAGATGGCGGTTACCATGGATTCTGTAAGAGAAAAAGCGCTTCAAGATTATCGAAAGAAGCTTTTAGAACATAAAGAAGTTGAGTCACGACTCAAGGAAAGTAAGATATTTTCGTAAATATTATAAATTTTATATAATAAAATTTCATTTGCAAAGTACATATTTCGGAGGCTCATAACCTCTCAGATCTCTCTTGTCAAGTTTTCTTTAGTCTATATTTTATTCGTAGATACATTTTTCTTGTGATATTATTGTATTGATATTTTTTTTTAACTTTTTATTTTATATCTTACAATTAATTTATTTTAAAAACCATGTACGTACTTTCTAGTGAGAGAACATCTCAAGGATCTGACAAAGCAATATGACAAGTCTGAAAATGATTTAAAGGCATTACAAAGTGTTGGACAAGTATGTTGTCAAAATGTTGTAACTTCATAATTTATGATTATGTTCTATTTCACAATCTTTATCTTACAGATTGTTGGAGAAGTATTGAAACAACTTACAGAAGAAAAGTGTAAGTAATCAATTTATTGATTAATGTATGTCTCTATCTTGTTGTATTTAATTTTAAAGATGGCTAAAAATTTCAAGTCTTATTATAGTGATGCTGTTTACATTTTGTAAGAATAATGAGATATATATTTAACATAATAAATATTTGTTTAGTTATAGTGAAAGCAACAAATGGTCCACGTTATGTTGTTGGATGTCGACGTCAATTGGACAAAAATAAATTAAAATCTGGAACTAGAGTTGCTTTAGATATGACAACTCTTACGATCATGCGTTATTTACCACGTGAGGTAAAAAAAAACTCACTAATTTATCTTTAGAAAGATTGTTTTCTAATTCTTCAAAAATTTATTCATATTGTTGTTTTTTTAGGTTGATCCATTAGTTTATAACATGTCTCATGAAGATCCTGGCCATGTGACTTATTCTGCAATCGGTGGTTTGAGTGAACAAATACGTGAATTGCGTGAAGTTATAGAACTGCCATTATTAAATCCTGAACTTTTTCAAAGAGTTGGAATTACTCCTCCCAAAGGATGCTTGTTATATGGTCCTCCAGGTACTGGAAAAACATTATTGGCAAGAGCTGTTGCCAGTCAGTTAGATGCAAATTTTTTGAAAGTTGTTTCGAGCGCTATTGTTGATAAATATATTGGAGAATCAGCTAGACTGATTAGAGAGATGTTCAATTATGCTCGTGACCATCAACCTTGTATTATATTCATGGACGAAATTGATGCTATTGGTGAGTATACAATATTTTTACTTTAAAAAAATATCTAGATTAAGAGAGAAAATTATAGATTAAATATTAATAAAATTAATTTATTTTTACATATATGTAGGTGGCCGCAGATTTTCGGAAGGGACAAGTGCTGATCGAGAAATTCAGAGAACTTTGATGGAGTTGTTGAATCAAATGGATGGATTCGATTCTTTGGGTCAAGTTAAAATGATAATGGCTACAAATAGACCTGATACTTTAGATCCTGCATTGTTACGACCAGGAAGATTGGATAGAAAGATTGAAATACCACTTCCTAATGAACAAGCTCGTTTAGAGATTTTAAAGATACATGCCTTGCCAATTGCCAAACATGGTGAAATCGGTAAGAAACTAGTTCATTTTTAATGTTTCAAGTATTTTAAATAATTGGTTTTACAATATTATATAAATATACATGCAAATGTAGATTATGAAGCTGTGGTTAAACTCTCTGATGGATTCAATGGTGCTGACTTAAGAAATGTATGCACAGAAGCTGGCTTGTTTGCAATACGATTAGAAAGAGAATATGTAATACAAGAAGATTTTATGAAAGCTGTCAGAAAAGTTTCTGATAATAAGAAACTCGAATCGAAACTAGATTATAAACCTGTGTAATTCGACAATATACAATATTCATTTGATATTTCAAAAATAATATTAGACGTCTATTAATTTTATATGACCCAAGTGGATCATTCAATATTGTCTTTACTAAAATTATTTTTATTTTCTATAATGAAATTATATTTGTGTAGAAGAGAGTTTATATTCAGCATTAACACATTAGCAAATTTGTATGATATAATTAATAACATTGATATAATCTAAAATGATTGATGTAAAATAAATAGAATCTTTGTTTGTTTTTCTGAATTTGCTAGATTATTGCGAATATTTATTTGCATATTTTACAAAATACTAAATATCGTATTTATAACATTTGTAAGAATTATAATCTACTCTGTATTGCCTGCAAGACGAGTTTTTTTCCTTTCTTGATATTCCTGCGCATTGTCATATTTTCTTTTATATAAAACGGGAAACAAGTTTTGTTTAACAATAGTATTTTTTAAAATTTGCCAGGAGGCATTGAGACATTTGATTGTAGAATTCAGTGCATCGTGAGTTACAAATCTATTATTATCGAATTTGAATACTCGCAGTCCTACATCTGTTAATACCCATAAATCTTGTTTGTGTAAAAGACATTCAATAGGTTCAGTTTCCACGGTTATGGACTCCAAATAATTTACTTTTAACTGTGTGTTATTGTTACCATTAATCCTATAAACTAACATTATTTTGCTACTATAAAAACTTATTATAATTAAAGATTCTATTTTACTAAAATAATATACTCTGAGATATTTGACAGGCAATATATCTACAGATTCATCATACTGACAGTCATGGAGACCTTGATTAAATCTTTCTATGTCACATTTCGATATCTTATCGTAAAAATTGACAGACAGTAATTCACTACCACATTTATAGTCCCACAATTTAAAGACTCCATCACCACCGCACGATATTAGGACACTCTTCTCATGAGGCAACTCTGAGATATTCGTCACGAATTTTTCATGTCCCAAGCAGTAAGATACAATGTTGTAACAGTTGGGAAACATGGAAACTCTTATTTTTTCGTCTCTATCAGTTGTTAGAACATACTTCATATCTTGCGTGACAAGTACATCGAGAAGCATTGACAAATGTCCCAAGATAAAGGTTCCAGCTTCCATTGGACAACTGGAGGAAAACAGGTAAGCATCTCCAGCTTTATCTGCTATTACGATATCGTTGTTCGGTGAGAATCTCACTCTGCTTGCAGCCCTGATGAGCGTTCGATTCGACAGGAGTTTCAAGTCCTTTGTTTCATACAGGCACAGTTGCTTGCGATTCGTGCATACCGCAAAATATTTCCCGTCTTCTGAAAACGCTAGAGACGTTATCATATGATAAGTCTCAATATCCACTTTGTTGTGCACGTCTATCTTTCTTTCCAGATCGGGCAAAATTATCGTGTTTTTGGTATTATTGTCAATATCGTGCATTATCACACGTTCATTGTTACACAGAGCAACGTACGATTCGTACACAGAAAAGCTCATTGTTATAACGTTTCTTAAAATAACATTATTGTTCGCAACAATAAACGAATGCAATCTCTAATGCCGTACATACGTACATCAATACAACGATGCAACACGTGTACTTTACAACCTAACCTAACCTAACTTTTGCACAGATGATGCGATATAGCGATAATATCGAGCGCATTCAAGACATGATAGTTGAGTAATGCATGATCTAATGGGCAGTAACAGTAGTGGCTTAAGAAGTAGCATAGAAATCGACCAATCATTGAATATGAGAAGAATAATCAACTATGATTGGTCGATTTCTACGCCTACTTATTAATCAACTATTGTTACTGTCCATTGTAGATCATGCATTACTCAACTGTCGTGTCTGCTGAATAAAAATCTGCATAAAAGTTTGCTACTATTAGTACATTCTTCTAGATATAAAGATCTGATTGGATAACCTAGAAGAATACATCAACATAGCAAACGAGCTCAACTCAACTGTTGAGTTCGCTGAATCGTTGAATACGCCCAATAGGTCCATGTGTCTGTTATGTAGTTTTCTTCGCGCTGATAAGCGTTTTTCTCGGCTCAACCGAGTTTGCACTAATCTGGGTTGAAGATTAATGATATTTCGTGCTCTCCTATTGGTAGAGCGTGTAACGTTAACCAATAGCGAAGCATTTTCTTCCAAGTTTCGGCTCCGGTCGGAACCGAAAACGCTATATATATTTTTTTTATTTAGGGCTATATAAAGTTGATATTACATTTGTAATGACAAAAACGCACAAATGAAATTAATGGTCTACAGTCCCGTACACAACGAGAGAATATCGATAGCGATAGAAATAACATGATTTTAACCTATCAAAAATCGGATACACAGTTTCTGATAAGTTAGAAATCATGTAATTTTTGCTATCGCTATTCCCTCGCGTTATGTCTTGGGCTTTAAAGCATGGTTTATAATAAGTTGTCAATGCACCGTTGTCAGTTGCAATGCTTCACGACAGCCAGAAGCATTACTAATTACTATTGACGCTTCTGATTGGCTATTACTAAGCATTGCGACTGGCGACGAAGTGTTTGCAACTTATTGTAGACCATGTTTAAAGCCGGTTCTACATTAGTTGCAAGCTGATCGCAAATTTGTTGAGACAGCCAATCTGAATCTTGCATTTTGAAATCAACGCTTCATATTGGCTGTCGCAACTTGCGATAGAATCGGCTTAAGGCCACTTCAACCAACATTAGTCTAGTTTCCACCGGTTTAATCCGGATCAGAATGTAAGAACCAACTACAGTCGACCATTCCCCTGTCATTCGACTGTAACAGGAGAATACTCGATTGTAGTTGGTTGGTAGGTCCCGATTACCTTTAATCAACAATGAGTCCATTTAATTGACTAATCGCATTTGTCAACGACAGATGTGACGCAGCCTGACTCACTGCATGAGTTAATCCTGCAAAATTAGTATTCTACCATTGTATTTTTGAACGATAATAAATTCCAATAATAAATCATTAGTGATTAGTCACATCAAGTCAAGTCAATCGGACATATAAGTATTGAAAGGAAAGTCGGTTTCCGCCAACATTTTTATCGCGCGACCGGTTTGATTGTATTCAGTTTCGAACGAGAAACCGTTTGACGATTATTCCGCCGCACTTACGTCTTCGTGAGTTTTCGAACGCACAATTCCATCTGGTTCCTCCGGCGGCTCCGGCTCCGGCAAGTCCGGTCGGACGACGCACACGAGTGCATGGAGCGGAATACAATATAATCGCATCTGTTTGCAACCCGTCCGGGAGTTCGTAGTGCTGACGGCTAACAGCTGGACCAATCCCCATATTTTTTCATTCTTCAACGTCACGCTGAACATGATAGAAATTATCCGACAGGCGACGACGCGCCGGACTATTCCGTAGACGATCCCAGGCTATAAATATCGAGACAAACGGCGCGGCGGGGATTTAAATTTGGATCGTATCGAACCGCACAACCGGCCGGAGGGGTAGGACGAGGACTATTTTAAAACGATTGGGAGACGGTTTTATGTCGGTTTCGGTACGACAAGTATCCGACGCGTTTGCGATTGACGTCAACGAGATTCTCTTCGTTTAGTCCGTCTTCGTCGTAACTGCCGTTAATATGGGGATAATACTGTCCAGATTTCAAGTGAGTATCGGAACGTGTCGAGATCTCTTTTTGTGACATTTCGTTGAGGTTAGCACCAATCATATATGTACGGCGTTCCGCACTTATTTATCTGGTTAAACGAACATCGAGCAATATTTCTAAATGTCATTCATGTCCTATTTATAGCTGTGAATCCGTTTGGATGACGACAGATTTGTAATCGCGTAGATTGCGTTAACCTTGAGACGAAGCAATAACTTTGGGTCCTTTTTTCTAAACATAACGAGACCGCAAGACAGCGCGTAACTAGTCATACGATTACGTTTTTTATTTAACATCTTAACTTAAACTTTCGCGTGTATGTTATACGAGTCCTTGAGTTCGTCGCAAAACGATTTCTCCGATGTCCACCATTATCATGAGTAAACAAAAACGGTCGATAAATTTATTCCGCAGGGATATTGCGAGACCCAAACATTAACATTCAATGACGAACTTTATTATAATTTACACGCGTCATTATTGCGAAGGAATTATATTATGGATGCACGAACGATATGCGTTGTTACTTTGTAAATTGAAATCGAATTATCTTTTATATGTCTAGTATTTATTTAGTTAGCTATTTATTTTTGTCTTTTTAATTATACGAATATCTATACAAAGCCTACTCCATAAATATATAATACAAAGAAAATGTATTTTACAAATCTTATTTTTTTCCTATTCATATTTTTTTAATACTCAATTTAATATTTTACAGAAAAATTATAAAAATATTGAATATTTTAGAAAAAATTTATGCTAGTTTTATTTTTTTCACAAGAGAAATTACTTTTTATTATCATGATTTTTGTTAAACTTTTTTTTTTATATAAAGAAATATATTTATATATTTAATAAGGTATACACATTATAATGTAAAATATATGTTTTTCAGAAAAAAAAGACAACCATTGAAATTTTGGAGAGTCTAGATGCAGTGAGTATTATTTTATTGTTACTGCGTGATATATATTATAAAATAACATTACATAACTTCCTGTTTTAACAGCAAATCAAAGACATCCAACAATATGGACAGACTACGGAACAAAGACACAAAAAAATAGTAGGAACTATCATCATTTATGGAGTTGTCCTTTATGTTATGATAGCATTCATCTTTTACTTTTGTTTCTTCCCAGCGTCATTATACGATCAGATCTTTTATATAACACCATTACTATTTTTTCCAATTTTGTAAGTATGCAAATATGAGACACTTGTTGATTATAATCATACAATACATGGATCTTTTTAGCTAATAGAAATTTAGAAATGTGATCAAATACATTTTCCTTTCAGAATACTTTTAACAAAGAAAATGGTTTCATGGTATTATAATCGTAAAATTACTCTTAATCAAGAAAAATTGTCTACTGCCATGGCAGAGAAAAAGAAGATATTAAACGAAGTTACCGAAACGGAGACATATAAGAAAGCTAAAGAAATATTATTAAAATTTGCACCAGACGAATTAACCAATAATATGTCACCTGTAAGTACACTTATATTGTTCTTGTATTTAAATTGCATTTAAATTGCATTTAATTAAATATTATTTAAATATTTAGTTAGATAATGCTACTATAAATAAAGAAAGCTAAAATATTATATTATATAATTTCTATTGTCTTATTTTATATTAATTTTTTTATAAGTTTGACTTTACATTCATTAGATTTTATTTCTTTCTTTACAGTTAACTCCAAAGGTTTGTACTTCGGAACGTAATACTTATATGTAAAAGTATATAAGAATAAAATAAAATGGTAGCAAAACTAGAGAAAATGAAACACAACCTATATTATTAAAAATTCTTTGTGAAAATATACAAATTAATAATTTTGTTTGTAGCTTATTTCTCATAGGATGTCCGTACCATCTGAGACACCTCGGCGTCCTACGCCACAGCCTGTAATATCTCCTCTACATAGTGACTTAAGAAGAAGAATTGTGACTACTCAAAATCAGCCACAAAATACACAGATGGGTGTATCTGCTTCTGGTCAAACGACACCTCCCATTAAATCGATTAATCAACCTTTAAATGCTTCTTTCCAATCTAGAATAATTAATCCTGCAGTCATGGGTTTTCGTAAGTAAAAATATAATATATAATGATTTGCAAAAATATTGTACTTATACATATCTTGAAATATGTCACATAAATTCATTAATTACGTAAAAATTAACGACTGCATATATATGATTTTAGGATCACCATTACCACGACCTGTGTTGCCACAACAAAGAACAGTCATTGACCGTTTGGTTGATTATTTAGTAGGTGATGGTCCTGCAAATCGTTATGCTTTAATTTGTCGACAATGTGAATCACACAATGGAATGGCTCTGAAAGAAGAGTTCGAATATTTCGGTAAGGTGTTCATTTTTTAAAAAAAAGTTTTCTCTCAAAATATATTTTAAAGATGGTATAAATATACGTATATTTTTGCAGCATATAGATGTTGTTACTGTGGTTTTTGGAATCCTGCAAGAAAACAAAAGCCTTCTGCTCCAAAATTAGATTTTGATAATCCTGCTATAACTTCGAGTGCAGAATCCGAAGCTAATTTACTTCATAATACAGACGAAGAGACAATAAAACTTACTGACAATGAGCTGGAAACATGTACACATTCAGATACAGGTATATAATTTCTATTATTTATATGTTGATTCTCTAGTAATTTAATTTAATTTAATTTTATTGCCAATATTTTTTTATCTCTAGGGTGAATAATACATACGAATGCTAGAATAATTATCGGTATTTGTACAATTTTGTATTTTAGATTCAGATATTGAAGTAGTTGAAAGACCAGGCGAAACATCTGACATTCCTGAATCCGAAACCAAGGAGTTATTAGAGGAGAAAAAATCCGAGGAGAGTAAAGTACAGTCTGATGAAATTCAATCGTAGCACTCATAATTTTTCTATTCAAATAACTAGCCTGAAGGCGAAAAAGGATATTTGTAAATCAGAATTTCAAGTAAGTTTAAAATTTGATAAAAGTAAAGAAATATAAATAAGCAAGAATGATAACATCAATGAATGAAATAAAATAAATTATATAAAATATGTTGACTTTCTTAACGTATAATGAAAGCTAGAAATGTAAAATATCTTTTTAGATTATAGATGTAATCGTCAATTGAAACGTTGCTATTTAATGGAAATCGTTGCTCTAATTTAGAAGTAACAAATATTATATATAATTGTTGATTATACGTAATATGAAATCAATAGATTTTTCTTATCTAAGTTTTAATTATATAGCATTTGCGAAACAATTTGTAAAAAATGTATGAGGATTCTATACTTGATGAAAGATTATTATCATTCCAAATCTTTATTTGCCTAGCATTAGTGCGGTTACTGAATGCAAAAGGCTGAAATAAGAGCAAGAAATCATTAATCTAATTTCTTTTAAATACCTCGTAAATTTCATACAAATATTTATATACAACAATATTTATATGAAATTGCGTTTCATTTTTAGTTTTTGAGGCACAATTTAACCAAATGCAACAAAATACTTGAATGCATTGCATGCGAAAAGTTCATGTTGCATATCAATTAATAATGTATTTTTTATAAGACTGCCTATCTTATCTGCAGTGGCAGATTATTATTTATATTAGGCCAAAATTTTTTTGAGAAGCTACACTGATCTTTCCTTCGTATTTTAAGCTCGACCAACCTTTTATCTGAATATTGCTATAGTTTCATACATTGCTTTATTAAACAAAAAAATAAATTACATTCTAGCGTATTAAAATTTAACTATTCGTTTAGATATAAGGCTATTACGAAACATAAATTTTGTTATGTAAATGCGTCGTCTTTTGAAAAGAATGAACGAAAAAAAATGCATTTTGTAGCAGCACTGTCTTTTTTATGAAAAATTATTTAACACTCAGATAGCTTCTAAATTGAATCAGTATAATAGAAATCTGAGCGCTCTATATTATTACTTATGATTACACTCTACTGTGATTCTAGATAGGCTAATAAAACTCAAGATTATTGTATCAGCTCGAATTCGACCTTAATGTAATCGTAAATTATAAAAACTATTATTGTACTTTTTTGCTTTCTAAATAAAAAATTGTACTGTTATTTTAGTATGATAAATTTATATGTGGAAAAGATATTTGAGCAATTTGGAAAATTCTTGATATAATACAATTTTAAACAGAATTTAACTAGTTTTATTTTTTCACCTTGATATGTATCATGAAATTATTTGGAATGAAATCCACTTGGAATTATCCTGTTTTGTTTTTCTAAAAAAATCTAGGTAATTATTAAGTAATTCGATCGGAATCCGTTCCAAATAATTTCATAATACTTATCTTTATTCGATAATTCTGCTGATAATAATAGCAATAATGCAATTTTTTATTTATTCGAGTATTAATATTAATTCATTCGAATATTAATATTAATTTATTATTTACATTTCAATTATCTTGATTTCTCGTCTGTTGGATATGTTGGAATTCCCGCGTTTTATGTCATTGTATACGTTATAGCGCATGCGCGAGAAATTCAATGCTGTTTTCAAAGAGTGTTTATCTATAGTTCGATTCACACTTACGACATTTAAAATTCATTGGCTGCGTTCAATAGAAAAAGCAGTTTTGCAACAATAACATTTTTTATGATTATAAAAATTTTCACTTTTGTTTTCGCCTTAAGGAAAAAGTTACAGGGGAGTTTTTCAGTAGAAGCACATATTTTTGTTTCTTTGATTATTGATCAAAGATAGGATGACTCTTGTGTTAATTTGTGTCTTTGAGACTCCGCACAATAAAAGGAACAAGGAATAAAAAACAGAGAATAAGAATTTCAATCTATCAGAAATCATATATTGTGGAATACACATTTCCTGAGATTGAAATTCTTATTCTCTGTTCTTGTTCCCTGTTCCTTTTATTGTACAGAGTTCCTTACCGATTTCTTGATCGGACGCATATGGCGGATTTAAGCAACCAATAAAAAATTATTATCTCATTAATTTAATGCCTCCACACAGAACGTGGCATTGTTTGCCGCTTGGTGAAAATTGGTGAAAATTAGTAACCAATCAATTTATCGCTTTTCCATAGGAGTGAAAGAATGATTGGTTAGCGTAGCAACTTCTGTTGCGCTGCAAATATTGTTCTGTGTGCAGGAGCCATTATTATTATAGGAACATTATAACTCCACGTTGAATCTTGTCTAGATATTTCCATGATATATGGCTACGTAAGCTGGTAAACATGTAAATCGGCCTTAATTTATAAGCTTCAATTTCTACGTGAAAATAGTGTCCGTCTTATCCGTTCGTTCATTCGATCGGCGAATTACCGTGCAAGGTAAATCTAACGATTTTTTCGGCATCATCGTATAATTCGTTAAGAGACGTACATATACCACAAGATCGAATGTCATCCTTGATATTTCTGCTAATAGTATCGTGTGATATGTTTTATCGTCAATGATTTTAATGTGAGCGCGTAACGGATTCTAAGGCTTCCAGCCATTGAGGCTTGTTTCCGACAATTTTTACTATATTATGTGGCCACGTATAATGACGTGACAAAACGTTTCGATTAAGATTTAACAGTGACGAGACGTGTTAATCATAGTTATACATCGTAGCGAATCACGACATTAGGTAAAAGTCACAAAGAATCAAAATAAATCGCCCTTAGTGAACTGTTTCTTAGGCTTTTTTGGCGGACGCCATAATGTCCATTCATGATGATATTCGTGCGGGACTCGAGATTTCGCGCCAATGATCGCCGATGGCCGTTCGTCCGTCAATACTGTACAATTGACTCTTCATCGCGTACTTAACATCGAAAATGTACTTATCTCACTTCAACATTTCGTGCGAATCTATTTTGTTGAAAATTATCTGATCATTTATTAGATACACTTTAGGTGGGGTCATGCTCTATCGACTTTAGCACGTGGTAGCTTCTAATTTTTTTATTTTACTTATTTTTTTGTAGAGATTTTACTTTTTTATATGAAGAATAAGAATTTGTATATAATGTATTTTTTGCAGGTCAGTAAACATGCCAGAATTGACAGAGCTTGACAAGGCGGCGAGCTCGGAGCCTACGAAGGTGGAGTTGGTAGGTATTGGTTCTGCAACTGATTCTGACTCAGACGATACTATACCGGAATTAGAAGATGCTGGCACTCCGGGTACCGTTGGTTTTCCGGGTACAACAGTTACTGGACTTCCTATTGATATGGTGTCCAAGGCCAAGCAAAGCCGTGGAGAAAAGAAAGCTAGGAAGCTCATGAGCAAATTAGGATTGAAGCCGGTAAACTTAAATGTTTTAATATTCTAATAAATTTATTTTTATAAATTTATTGTCTTTATATTACAATCTTATACTCTTTCAAAACTTAACTTTTCAATCAATGTTTTAAAAACGGAAACATATATGGGAGAGAATTAGGATTGAACTTATGAGTTTATTACAGATATTATTTTTACTCGATTATGAGTTTATTACAGATATTATTTTTATACATTGAGTTACATATATCATCTCAAAATTTATTTTGTATTCAAGACAATTGCTTTGCTTTTTATGTTCAGGTTCAAGGAGTCAATAGAGTAACTATTCGTAAATCAAAGAATATTCTGTTTGTTATAAACAAGCCAGATGTTTTGAAGAATCCAGCTTCAGATACTTATATAGTATTTGGTGAAGCCAAGGTAATGAAGTAAAATTCTGACCGTATAATAAATAGATCATATTTATTGAATTCCTTATTTTATGATGATTAGTGAAATTTCGCAAACTAACAGAAATTATTTGTTGAAAATACCTTGGCAGACTGATATTTAACAATTTATTATTACATAAATATGAATTAATATTTTTAATGTATATATTTTATATATTAAAACGTTCTTTATAGATTGAAGATCTCAGTCAACAAGCTCAAGTAGCAGCAGCAGAGAAATTTAAAGAACCACCAGTTATACCAGCAACTGAAGCTGGTGGCAGCACTACGGTAAAATATATTGTATTTTATAATTATAGA